TATCCTGATTTTATTTGTATATACACACACATTTCAGTTCAGTTCAGTCACTCAGTTGTGTCCAACTCTTTGCGACCCCATGGACTGTAGCACACCAGGCTTCCCTGTCCATCACCAGCTCCTGGAACTTGCTCAAACTCATGTCCATTGAGTCGATGATGCCATCCAACCATCTCATCCTCTGTCGTCCCCTTCTCCTCCTGCCTTCAGTCTTTCCCAGCATCAGGGTCTTTTCCAATGAGTCAGTTCTTCACATCAGGTGGCCAAAGTATTGGAGTTTCAGCTGAAGCATCAGTCCATCCAGTGAATATTCAGGACTGATTTCCTTTAGGATTGACTGGTTTGATCTATATTGTATATATATGCATTTGTTAAAAAAAAGGATCCATTAATAGGTCATATAATTTAGTGGGTTGTAGCCAACATTACAAAAATAAAAGAATGCGTCACACATAGTTCATGTGAAGCTTGCTATATATGTGTATGGTGCACACACACACATGGTTGTGCTAGGTCACAGTATAAAATGTACTTCTACCTGGGTCACGGTCATTGATGGGGGAGGGGTACTCAGTACGGATTAAGATGCTTCCTTGAGTTGTACTCAGTTTTGAATTGGTCTGAATTTTAAGTTTTTTTTCCCCCATCTTTTTTCTTGTGTGTGCTAGTCACGTAGTCATGTCAGACTGTTTGCGACTCCATGGACTGTAGCCCGCCAGGCTCTTCTGTCCATAGAATTCTCCAGGCACGAATACTGGAATAGTTTGTCATTCCGTTTTTCCAGGGGATCTTCCTGACCCAGGAATCAAACCTTGGTCTCCTGCATTGGAGGCGGATTCTTTATCATCTGAGCCACAGGGATACTCTTTTTTTCTTAGATTGTTTAAAAAACAAAAAACAAAAATCGAGGACTTCCCTGGTGGTCCAGTGGTTCAGACTTCACACTTCCAGTGCAGGGGGTGCTTTGATCCCTGTTAGGAAACGAAGATCCCATATGCTGTGCTGCCTGGCCAAGCACAAGAAAAGCGTTCCAAAAATCGTTTGGGTTAGTTGTTGCTCTGAATAGTTTATCCTGAAAGGGGGTGGGGTGGGGGGCACGGGCGGAAACCTCAGGATAGGGGGCTTTTGGTGTGCTGGGCGCCATCTCGTGGCCTTTGGGTTACAGTGCAACGTAACTCCCTTTGATAGAGAACTTGCGAATCGTTTTCCTGATGTTCTGGCTGAGCTGTACAAATGGCCAGCGCTTGAAGTTAAACCCAAGTCTGAAGATTCAATTCTTACCTTCATTTATCCTTGGCCTCACACTCGACCCGTAACTCTAGCCAGTCATGAGAGAGGATGATCATGAGACCAGTCAGCGCTTAGTCTCTCGAGGTTGGGTCACATGTACTGCCTTTTTAAATAAGGACAGTATACTGGCAGTGGATTCCGCTTTCAGTGGACGAAGAGGAAATGGGCTTACACTTCCCCTCCTCTGTGATGCCTTCTCTCATCCCTATCTTCCGTTGTTGTTCATGCCGGCCTTGGAGCCAACACAAGTGTCAGCATTTTTAGTACTTATTCTTCTTTTTCACTGATTCACTGATTTATTCACCGATTGATTTTTTACATGCTTATTTGGGAAACTGGGCTTCTTGATGGAAGGAATTGTGCCATATCTTTTTATTCGTATTACGTAGCAAAGTACCTTGCACATATGCAGGTCATAATTTCCATGTGAATGAATGCACGATTTAGGTGAATTTGGATATTTGACTTGGCTTTTTAATTTGTTAATTTAAAAAATTATAAGCTTAAGCCTAATTTATAATTAAAATTTATAATTAAATTAAATTAAAAAATTATAAGCTTAAATTATGGTGAATCTTTAAAAAAGTTTTTTAAGGAATTTACCTAAGTGTACAATATTATGCACAAATTGTGTTATTAACAGTGGAACTCAAAAAGTTGCTTTGCAGCATTTTAAAGACTATTCAAAAGCAAGGTTAGAAAATGTCTGATCTTTCTATAGAAAGTTGGGTACAGTGTGTAACTGCAGGAAACCCACTGCCCCTTTGTAAGTTGTGGAACCTAAAATGTATGGAAATATTTGATGTTTTCAGCAAAAGAAAATATGGTCCAAATTAAAATTTCCAGAGATACTAAAAAAAAAAAAAAGGTTGCTTTGTTTTTTGGAATAAAAACATTATGATAAATATTTTATTTCCTTTTAAAGGCTAAGTAAAAAATTTAATGATTTTATAGAAGTGTGTGTGTATATATATGCATATGTGTATGTATATATATGTATACACACAAACATATTTATACACCCCCACCACCACTGGCATGGAGACCTTTATGGAGCTATTTGCCTGCAGTATATGTTTCTTCACATTCATGTTAATACCTCTATTCAGATAAATTTTAGTGACATAATTCATAGGTAACAAAATACAAGAATGTATTCCATAACATCACATGGGGAGGGTAAGGTACAAAAATATCATTAATAAAATAGTGGTTAATATATTTAAGAACAAAATATAGAACCTGGAAGTCTCCTGACAGATGCAAAGTTTTACTATGTTGGATTAGATGTATCCTTGGATATGGAAGAAATGATGGGAATGAGGAATGATTCCTTCTATGAGCTTCTGGGGACTAGGAAATTCCTGAAAGGGCAGGCCATCATGAGTACTTCAGAGGTCAGAACACTGGCTAGGCTCAACTGGGGAATAGCCAACAGAAGATCAGAGATTTGAGGGACAAGCAGGGAATTACAGATGTTATTCATAAATATATATATATATATATGTTGTTCATATATGTGGTATATGAAAACAGTGCAAGTGTTAATTGCTCAGTCGTGTCTGACTCTTTTGAGACCTCCACGGACTGTAGCTTGCCAGGTTCCTCGGTCCATGGAATCCTCCGGGCAAGAATACTGGAGTGGGTAGCCATTCCCTTCTTCAGGGGATCCTCCCAAGCCAGGGATCTAACCTGGGTCTCCTGCACTGCAGGTGGATTCTTGACCACCGTGCCACCTGGGAAGCCCTATTTGATGTATGTGCCTGCATGCGTGCTAAGTTGCTTCAGTCGTGTCTCTTTGTGACTCCATGGACTGTGGCCCACCAGGTTCCTCGGTCTGTGGGATCCTACAGGCAAGAATACTGGAGTGGGTTGCCATGCCCTTTTCCAGGGGATCTTTCTGACTCAGGGATTGAACCTGCATCTCCTACATTGGCAGGTGGGTTCTTTACCACTAGTGCAATCTGGGAAGCCCATATGGTGTATGTATGTGTGTGTATATGTGTATATACACATACATACACAGAAAAGACTTTGCCTAGTGTTTCATAGAAACTTTGGGCTACCTCTTGACCTATTATTTTGGATAATCTTCTACTGTCGTGGCATGGTCTATCCTTCTGCTGCATAGGTAGCTAAACTATTATTGGTCTCCTTTCCTTAATCTGTTGGCAACTATCCCTAGAGAATGGTTTCTCAGCCTTGCTACTATTGACACCTTGGACTAGATAGTGTCCTGTGCACTGTAGGATGCATAGCAGCATCCTTGAGTCTACCCACTAGATGCCAGTAGCACTCTGACAGTTGACAACCAAATATACCCCCAGACGTCAGTCTGCTCTGGGAGACTGTGCCGAGTTGAGAACCACTGGCTGTAGACTGTGAAGTTGCATGTTTGGGAATAGGTCTCCTGTGCTTCCCTTATTATAATAGTAAATCGTCCACCCAAAAGAAATGATGGATTGCCCTGCCTTTTCCATCTCTACACAAACCACAGGTCCACTGACACATCTGGGCTTTGTGAATGGTGTTTAACATGTATTAGTGGTTATGTTTTCTAAAAAGTTGTGACACTTGTTAAATCAACCATAATTCAAATCACATACTTAACATATAGATCAATTCCTTATGATAGGCTAAATATAGAAAATAATTTCCAGTTTCTATTATAGAAATTTCCAGTTTCTATTAAAAAAAAAACAAATACAAGCAGAGAGTCAGTGTACACATATATCCTTTAGGTACAGAAACAGCTTCATTCATGTATAATTTTAATTTGAAGATCCAGATACAATATTCTTTAAATGACAATGGCCCCTAAAACTTACTCAAACTTACTATAAAAAAGTAAACAAGTGAAGAAATATAATTTTAAACTCTGCCCCTTGCTTGAGAGCTTGGAGGAATCCAAAAAAAGCTAAAAAAAAAAGCCATTGCCATATTCAGGTGATGAAGTGGCACTGGAGTTCAGCTTTATATGTGGTCATTTGCAAACAGCTGGTTACATTATATTTGGAGATTCAACTTTTGTTAAACTCTATGTCTTTTTTTGTTTTTGGCCATGCTGTGCAACTTGCAGGATGTCAGTTTCCCAACCAGGGATAGAACTTGGGCCATTGCAGGGAAAGGCTGGAATTCTAATCACCAGGGAACTCTCATGGTAAACTAAATACAAATATTTCTTACTTATAATTTTGGTACAAGCTGAAAATGTAAATTTAGATAAAAGAGAGAACCAAAGGGCTTTATGCTGGGTACAGAGCAGAGTCTGGGGTTCACTGTCTCTACCAGACGCAGTGGAAGGTGACTGTGCTCACAACCTATTCTTTCCTGCTGCCCTCAGAGGTGAGCCACAGAGGAATGTAAAGAGCCCAGAAACTAGAATTAGCCTATCTGGGTTCAAAGACTGATTCTACCTTTGCAAGCTGTCTCCTCATCTGTGAAATAAAGAACTCAAAGAGTTACTGTGAGAGTTAAGTGAAAAAAAAAAAATGCACCTAAACTCCTAACAATGCCTGGCACATGGCATGTACTCCATAAATGGCAGTTAGTAGTCTTGTTACTAGTTTGAGTCAATCTGACATTTCCTGTTTTGGAAAGATAGAGAATAATTGCCTATCTTTTGGCATCAGTGTCTAATGATACTAAGTATATGTGGCTCCTGACATGGATTTTTGTATTATTTCAGAAACTACTACTGTAACACAGTGTGGTAATACACAGTGAGTTTTATTGAGAAGTTTCAAGCACTGTGACCTGAGGAAGTATTTTCAGTTCATTTTATCGAAATACTTCAGTTTCCCGGCTGGATCTGGGATTATCTGTTGAAGAAAAGAAGACAATGTACATCATCAGTAGTCTGATAAGTTGCCCATCTCTTGACTAAAGAAGGTCAAGATTATTTTCCTGTACCAAATTATATATATTTAGGAAAGACTGGATTTGTCCTACCTGCTAATTTTAATCTCAGCTATTTTAAAAGGCAGGTGATCTGCTAGTGAATTAACATCTGTACTTAAGCACTCTCAAACTTACTTATAACTCTTCTCTTGGCCACCAGGCTTGCATGGCATCTTCAGGTTTGATCTAATTAAATCAAACACATTAAGGGAGCATGGCTACAGATGTTAATGCATTTGTAAAATAATCTGCTAATGAAGTGATGGTATGCTACAACCTGAAAAGGGGGCAGGGAGCTCAAATGGATTTTTTGGCAGTCTAGGGTATAATCTTTTCATCTCAAACTGCAAAGTAAAAGAAACACTCTATATAGCCTCCCTAAATGAAAGAATGTGTTTCAGTCTCATTTTCCTTCATATGACAAGGAGAGAATCATTAGCTTCATTGTCAGTTAAGCCAGATTTTCTCTAAAGCTTTTAATATATACACTGAAAAATTTTTCTTGTGACTGTTCTCTTTGCCCTGAATTTATTTGAACAAGTCTCCACCACTTCCCTCCTCCTGCTTTTTAAATGATATAATTCTCTGAATACTTGGCTTTAAAATCCAGAGCATCAAGTCCCATATTCTACTTTCCCAGTTTCAGCTACTCTCCCTACAGTCCAAAGAATGCCTGTACTTCTTTTAGGAGTTCTGCCTAGAAATGTTTACTTCATTTACAAAATCAAGGCAGGTCTGTTACAAACAGAGATTATCCTAGGGTTGGCTGCTGCTTTTTGGCCCCAGCCATCCCCTTAACAGAAAAATGAACTTGACTTACTGTTTCACTACCAGGTTTCCAACCAGCAGGGCAGACTGAAAGGAACAAAAATTGGCAAAAGGCAATTTAAAAACTGTTCAATTCTATCAACTCTCAGCTTTTCTTTTTCCAAATGATACTGAAAATAGAACCTATATTAATGAGAACATTTCTAGGCCACCAAACACTTGACTTGTTAGCTTACTGGCTTGCAACAAGAAATTTTAGTCCTGGAGCTTATCAGCAGATAGCTATTTTTCAGTTTTCTCAGTAATGTTTAGTTACATTTATAACAGAAGAAATCAAATTGAGTGTTCCTTTAGTAAAGTTGGAAAGTTTGGGAATCTGGTGAATTCAAAGATCTGGGTACAGCAAAATTCCTCAAATGTACATTCCCTTAAGCTTATCTTCTGTGCCCTGCAGTATTTGGTCCTGATGCCATGGTTCACTGTTTGTTTTAGCACCCTGACCCAGGCACTAAGTTATACTTTTGAAAGGAATATATAACATATGTTCTATTTTAAGAAGAATCTGATGTTTACCATTTGGCTACTGCAAAAACTTGGAGTGAAAGGGTGAACTAATAGATTATTAGTGTGTTACTGAATAACCTCAAAGATTTCTGAATTACCTTGAAGAAAAAAGCTTAAATTAAATAATGTAAAACATGCAAATAAAACATACATTACTAGATATGGCCAGATTGGTTGGCACATTTTAAGTTAATAGAAACATAATGGGAAAAATTACAGTAGCAGAAACTTTTCTCTGAGATATTCAAATGGACTATGAAAACAATATTTTTTCTATCCTATTCAGTAGGTAGAATATATTAGTGATATTTTGTTAAAAGCACTTTCATATTAATAATTAAAATTTGATTTGCTTAAAAGATCTAATAATTTGGAAATAATTGGAAGACTCTGGAACCATGAAAATTACTTTTAAGGTAAGAAACCATATTATGCTACTATCTCTCAAACTAAAAAATCCAAAGGCTATAATAGAAGGAAAGGGCACCTTCTCCGTGTCTGTCAGTGTACTGGAATGCCTGAACCAAACGTAGTGTCTCATCCACGGATCTACCCACGGGAAGGTCATTCAGAGTAATCTGTCTTAGGATTCCCTTGTCATCAATAATGAAGAGACCTCTGTAAAACAGAAGAATGGGAAAGATGAGGACATTTGTTCTCAGTTAAGACAAATATTAGTTACTTTGAATCCCTGTACCGCTCAAACAGAAAGATGTTATACAGAACCAAAAACATAACTACCTACCTACTTGACTGGTATGTGCATGCACACACCCCTATACCCACACCTATCTACTGTGTATTTTGGGATTATCACTGTTAAGCAGTAGCATTAAAATTTTGTTTTTGTCTTTGAAATGTACTGTAGTATTATCAGTTGAATCTTCATATGTACTAGATTTGGGACTGTACTGTAAATGATGAAACTGCATAGCAAAGCCTTATTCTACAATACTTAAAATTTTTTTTTGAATGAGTAACTCAACCTCTGAACCTACTAGGGCTCAGTCTCCTTAGACCAGATCAACTTGGTCAAACTTAGGTAAAATTGTTAATTACTATTCATATTTGTGTTCTTTCACATACTACTTTCACAATTGAAAATCCTCATAAAGGGTGATCAAGTCTGTTTTGAAGTAAGTGAGCCTGACTGGAAATTTTGACCTTGCCTCCGTAACACTCATCATAGCCATATACTCCACATAAAAACAAAAGCTGCCTGTTCTTTGGTAGCAAACTGTAGCTTCTGTTTTCTCTTTTGATTTTGTGAACTGCTTCTTTGGTAGACTATGAGACTAAGACATTTGCTGTGCTTGCTAATATTAGATAATTTACTTGGTTAATGTTCAAATAATTCTCAATTTGAAAAGTGCCACAGTCTTTAGTGGCATATTTATTCTTTGGGAGTTAATAATAATAGCTAGGCAGAAACCATTATAGACTTGACAAGTACAAAACAAAAAGAAAATTGGCAGGGATACACTGATTCAATATGGATGAACCTTGAAAATATTACGGTAAGTGAAAAGAGGCTAGTCATAAAAGAGCAGATACTGTAGGATTCCATCTATATGAAATGTCCAGAATAGGCAACTATTAAGACATAAAGTAGATTAGTGGTTGTGTAGGGCTAGGAGAGGGGGACTGGGTGAAATGGGGAGTAACTGCTAATGGGTATGGGATTCTTTTTGGAGCAATGAAAATGTTCTAACATGGATTGTGGTGATGGTTGTACAACTGTGAAATACTAAAAATTACTAAATTGTATGCTTTAAATGGGTGAGTTGTATGGTATGTGAATTTTATCTAAATAAAGCTGTTCTAAAAAAATGCAAGATTATAAAATACTGATACCTTTACATAAAACATTAAAAGAACTATTAGCACTACAAAGCAAATCAGTATGATTATAAGAAAATTACAAGTATTTCAAGCTGAAGCTGCCCTTTTGTCTAAGAATTCTATCAGCAGTTATTAGCTCAAGTAACTCAATGAGAGCTGTTAATAAAATATATCCTTAATTTTTCCTACTCCAGAGGCACAGGTTTGCTAAATACTATGATACTTGTATTTAGAAAAACTATTACTCGAGTCAGTTTGGAAAAGAGAAAGAAATGGACAGAAAGTTTGGGGACCTGGGCTCATGTCTGGGTTCTGCAATTAACTATAGTCACTTTGGCTAAGTTCTTGGAATGCTGAATCTGTTTTTATGTAAAATGACAGGGTTGAAGACCTCTAGAATTTTCCAGTTCTAAAAGTCTTTGACACTCACGTAGTTTCAGTCAGGCACTCACCAATTATTTTTAATGGTATCTACAACATTTTTGCAAGTAGAACAAATATTTCTTGATCAAACCTTGTATCTTCTAATTCCATTTCAAGTAGGTTTACAAATGTTTGTATTTGTCATCATGTACAACTACTGAAAGGTACCTAAGAGTGTGGCCTGAGTCTTCCAGATATACGCCATAGTCCTTTGAGATCTGATGGTTCAAATCTGCAAGAAGTGGAATCCTTATTGACCCAAGTCCTCCTTGTCTTCGAGGAGTATTAATCCTGTTAACAGAAAATGTACCTTTCAGGGTTAAGTAAACAGCATATATTAAAATAGTCCACACTCCTTGCATATGCACACAAACATGTGCATGGCATCTCTTGTCATTTTAAATTTTGTGCAATTAGGTGGAACATCTTTTCATGATTAATGAATTAAAAATTATTTAATCATTGCTAAGAAAATAAATATAAAAAATTTTATTTCTCCAGATTAAGGTTATCCAATTTATCATAATAATCATAGAATTCAGTGGTTTTTGCTGTGGATATTACATCTTTTAAAAAAATAATTATTTGGTACAGACTATTTTTTAAATCTTTATTGAAATTGTTACAATATTGTTTCTGTTGTTTATGTTTTGGGTTTTTGGCTGTGAGGCATGTGGAGTCTTAGCTCCCTGACCAGCAAATGAACTGGTACCTGCTGCACTGGAAGGTGAATTCTTCACCACTGGACTGCCAGGGAAGTCCCTGTATCTTTTGAATTTAACTTTTCCCAAAATTTGAAATGTTCTATAAAATCTTTAAACATTTTTACTTTACTTTCATTGAACTAGCAGCTCTCAGATAAATTTATCCCTGAACTGTCTGATAAATAATTATATTCCTGTCATGTTAAGAGTTGTCTGCCCATAATTTAAGAGTATGTCTATTCTTTCCCTATAAATGTTAAGTTTAAGATACTGACCAGGCCAAATGGGTGAACTGTGAATCAACAGAGCAGGCTACCACTTCAGTGTTGATTGATCTGAATTCGTCAATTCTATCACCAAAGGCGATGATTTCAGTTGGACACACAAAAGTGCTGGAAAAAAAAGTCATTATTCTCAAAAAACACACATACTTAGTTTCAAATGATTTTGGTTTTATAAACACTTTAGTATATAAAAATGTACATTAAGAAAAATTTTATATATGAACCTTCTCAAGATGGAGTAGTCTAAAAAATGGTCACTGGATCAAATATCATTTAATTTAAAAATATAGAGTCCTCAATTATGTCTTGATAAACTTTATATTGGTGCATACAAACTGAATGTTACCTTGTATGTATGTGTAAGTGTACAGGGCAGCAAGGAAAAATGGATTTCCTGCTGTGTGTTATGGTCAAGAAGGTTTGAAAAACATAGACTTAGGGGACAGGTTCCTACCACAGTCCAATATAGGCTTTTCAAATGTTTCAGTTGTTCGAGTGGAGGACTGCCATATGCAAGAAGACAGTTCTAATCCAGATTATGTCCTTGGAAATCTGGCCTATAAAATGAACTTTTAATATTTTCCAAAAGGTAAGAATGATTGGCCCTTGTCCTCCTTTCTGTTATCCCAAGAAATGTTACCTAGAGATATACTGTGTGTTAGTTGCTCAGTCATGTCCGACTCTTTGTGACCCCATGGATTGTAGCCCACCAGGCTCTTCTGTGCGTGGGATTCTCTAGGCAAAAATACTGGAGTGGGTTGCCACTTCCTTTCTTACTGGCCCAACATAAAAGTTTTGGCAGAAACCTGAAGGGTTACAATTCTGATTTTCTTCCTTATAGACTGTGGCAAATGTCCCAGAATTCTTCTTTCTCTAACCAGGTCCAGTTTGGCTGGCTTTACATGCAAACAGCAGAAACTCTCTTAGCTCCTTGCTCCAGAAGACCATTGCTAACATCATGCTTTAATTAGATAGGTCTTATTCATTGGGGAGTTTTAAATAATACTGGAGAAATAGCTTATTTGTCTGCTGTGTTAGGTTAATTTCAAAATTCAGGTTTAGCACCATATATATTTAATATGTGTGCTGCCTTCTGGTTTTACAGCAACATGAATTTAGAAGGCCTATCATTTTATATACATTAAAATGTCTACTTCAGGTTTCTATTAGAAGTTATAGTACACATTTTAGTTAGTCAAACTATAGTACAAATTGATTAGAAATAAGGAAGTTCTTACTAATTTAAAAGATTACATATTATGCAGATTCATGGTTTGTTTCAGTCTCAATGTACACATTTTTATGAGAATTCTATTTGGATTAGAGGAGTCAGCAAACTTCAGCCCACAGGCCAAAATCTAGTGTATATTGTTTTTTGTAAATAAACTTTTAATGGTGTACAAGACCCCTTTATTATTATCTGTTGCTATTTTATGCTATAATGGCAAAGTTGAGTAGTTGCAATGAAGATCACTTCAAGACTAAAATTTTTACTATCTGGCCCTGTACAGAAGAAGTTTGCTGCCCCCGGTCTATAGACATAAAGATATGAGCTTAAGTATATCCTCCCTACAAATTTAAAATATATTTACATAGTTCTAGATTACTCCTAATGGAAAAAGGAACTTAGTATACAGTGGCACAGACAGAATAATCTATTTACTTTTTGTAACCAAAAAACATATTCAAACAGAAAAGATCAAAGTTGGGATAACTCTCTTTGGTATCTTTTCATTTTCATGGAATTTGAAAAATTCAAAAATAAATCCTCAGTGTGACTAAAACTCCCAAGAATCTTTACTTTGAGTCAACTTTCTACCTATAAAAGTGCTGTCAGAATTAAAGAGAACCCCCTCCATAATCATACTTTATGTTAATAGGTGTTATTCCTTAAACATATCCAATATTTTCAGGAAAATGTTCAAATCACAGGAAAGTAACATGCAGCAAGGAACAAAAATAATAAAACCAAAGTTAAATTCTATCACCATAGAAAAAGCCTTATAAATATTCACGTTAACAGAGAAACAGATTTGTGGTCTAAGTCTTGCTATTTAAATGCTTTCTAAAATATTCTTAGTCCATTTTCTTGCCTTAGTAAGTAGAGTTTAATGAATATAACTGTGGTTTTTGTCTAATGATTATGTTAACACAATCACATATATATAAGTATACAACATTGGGGTCAATGGGTTATGATTCTGAAATATATTCAAGATGTTACTTTCTTGAAAAAAACTCATCTCAGGTTGCCCTTTATGAACAAGTGCTAAGAAATTTCTAACTATATGATGCTCCTGAGCAAAGATGAATAATGACTGAGGTATTACTAGCTGCTATGATATGGATTACTTACAAATCAAGTGGGTAGAAGAAAAAAACCAGGTACTTCCCACGATAATCAGTTAACTTGAGCTCCTTAAATTCTCCATTTATCACAGCTGTTCCTTCCCAATAAGGTGCTGGCTTGGAAACTAAGAAAGAAAAATATATGATGTTCTTAAACGATGAGAGGGTTGGTGGGATGACAGAAGGACATCTTTAGGACATCACTAAAAACCAAGGCTTCAGAGGGAATCTTTGGACCTCTTTTAGCAGTCTGGTGATGCAGATGGACTTCTGCAGTGTTATTGAATGCATAAAATATTTAGAATATTTAGAATTTCAAAGGAAATATATTACAATGAAATGCAATCATCAAAACTATAAAAAAAAACTGGTGATATATTAATATTTGTGTCCTTTTTCTTAACACGTTAAAACTCTGAGACTTGGCAGTGATCTAGTAACTACTCAAGATTGTGATGAGTGTAAATGATGTTCCAGGATACCGGCAGCATCCATAATAATGGTATGAAATGTATGTGATTCTACTTGGCGACAACGAGTACCGCTGAGGCTAAGGTGGTTTGCTGCTGATGTTCATAATGGAAATAACTGCTATATTTCAGCTGGAGATTAGTGAAAATAAAGATTCTTTTTCCTATTCATGCTCACAGGCCCCCTACATTCTATCCCTGCACTAAACCCTACAGGATACTTCACTATAGTTCCTCCAAGTTAATCAGCTTCCCACGTTTCAAACAGTTAGATTTTCCATTCTCTAATGGCAGTCTTCCAGATGTATTAATTTAAGTGTTTGTCCAGTTTCTTGAATATACATGGCGGACCTGCTGCTACATTCAAGGAATAGGAAATCTGCAAATATGTCAGGACAGAAGTGTAAAATCCTAGACCATAGGATTATTTTCCAGGCTTTGAAAGAGGCGACCCTCTTGAACAAGTGACCTAATGGAAATTGAATAGTTCATGCTGCTCTCTTGTCAGTGTATGCTTGGAAGTCTAGCCAACATGCTCTGATAATAATGTACCTTGATATTCTGTTAACACATTTAGATAGCACTTAAACTTTCAGAACCATCACATACATTAATGTCAATACTTGCTTCCAATTTGACTAAGGTTCCTAGAAAGTAAGGGTTATAATAGAATTTATTATATTTTGTATACTAGCCAGCATTTTTGATAACTCTGAAAACAGGGAAACACTTAAGATTAATTTCTCTGTGGAGTTAATGTATAACAGGTGATTACTTATCTTGAGCCAGCAGCCTATCTCACAAAAGCATCCTGATCTGATTAGGTAAAGGCCAGGAGGGAGAATTAGATAGCAGAAGGATATGGGACTATATATGCTTTATATATATTACTTAAAAATATTACTCAAGTGTGAGGTTATAGTTGTAATAATGTGTTACAATGATAGTCCATAGTGATTTTAGCATATTGGGAAAACCAATAAAACTGAAAAATTTTGCTCTGAAAATTTTGACTTTTGGGTTCTTTTTTATAGACACTGATGGAATGCTTTATTATCTTAACAAATTGGTAAAGGTTTGTTAAATGGTAACAATGTTGTCAAGGTGGTGGAAAGGCATGCCTTCATATCCTTGACTGTACCTAGATATGGCTTTTCTTTTTCGGGGAGGGAAATTTTGGGTTCTTGATTTACGAACTGCAGTGTTAGTTAAAAAAAAAAACTGTCATCAGTTTATAGAGCAAAGAGAATTCAGTTTGCTAAGATCTATAAATGGAATTCCCAAAGCAACCATTCACATGTCAGGATGGGGAACACATGTAAACCCATGGCTGATTCATGTGAATGTATGGCAAAACCACCACAATATTGTAATTAGCCTCCAATTAAAATAAAAAAAATAATGTTCTTACAAACAAAACCCAAAAATTGTCCCAAATACAAATCATGTAATTAACAAAGCAAAAGGAAAGCAGTATAAAGTATATTTAAATTCCCTTTCCCCATAACCCATCTGTTTAACTACTGTTAACATTTTGATGTCCTTCCTCCTAGTCTTTTTAAACACAAATTTGGATCTTGTTGCATCCCACTTGTGAAAAAAGTAAGCATTAGATCATGAATAATTATTCATGTTACTAAAAATATCTGAAAGTATGAACTTAATAGCTCCATAATATTCTATTTTGAGTGAAGGTCCTTGTACCTGTAATTCTAGATTCTCTACACATTAGAGAAATGTAGCAAATACCTAAAATTTGAAAAGGTCTGCTGGTAGAGGGAAATCTTATTACTACCATTAGCTTCCATGAGCAGACTTGGATGGCATGTTACGGGAAATATATGTAATGCCAGTAAATGCCACTTTAACTGGCTGCCATATTTCAAAATATCTTCCGAGGCAAGTAAAAGCAATGAGACTTGGAAATATGATTTTGAAAGTGTAACACACACACACACAAAAGAAAGTGTAACACTAGCTTTTTAAAAAACAAAAACCTAAAGATAACTTGCAGTAGGAAAGAACTGCAGATGTTTAAGGAGGCAACAGTTTTTCTCATTTATCACTCCCACTCCATCCTAAGGCATATCAACATTCCATTTAACACTGGGGATTCATAACTGCAAAGTATTGCTTTTTTTCACTGAACATGGCCAAGGAACATGCTGTAACTGGACCACAAAAGCCAAATACACATCTTCAGAATGCCAGATGGTCAGTAGGAAAAGCAGGTTATTTAAAAGCAAGCAAGGGACACTCTTTATCCTTTAGTCCCTACCCACTTCTTTTTGGCTCATCTTAACATCCAGATGCAGCAGGCCACAATTTTCTCAGTATCCACTTAGTCTGACGTGTCTTTTCTGAAAGTGGCCATTAGTTGTGTACACTGGACAGAAATGCAAATAATCAAAAGCCAAACTGGCAGGACACAAATTTGCCACGAGGTTTATCATCAACCCAAATGCATTACTTCTAACCTCCTTTTCCGCATTTCCCTACAAAGAGCCTTCAAGATACACCGTGTAACAAGCTCTTCATTTCTGAGAAACACAAAGGATGCCCATTAACTCTATAGGTCTCTGGGAAGGTGGCTTTTAACAGTTTTCTTTGTAAGATGCAACAACAACAAAATGAAACGTTTCCTCTCCTGAGCCAAACGTTGATTAGCCACTTTTCTGTTTATCCAAACTTTCTGTGAATCGTTATTCAACTTATCAGCGCATTCTTCTCCGAAATCGCACTTGAAAACAGACGCGATGCGCTGCAGGCACTTCGCGATGTTTGAGGAAATGTTCTAGTTTACACAACATCCTCGTCGCCTGCAAGCCCAGGACCAGGGCCACCCTCTCCCTCATCTGCGGCTTTTGGGGTAACCACTAATTCCTCCAAAATCTGAACAGTGGAACCCACCCCTTTCTTCACACCTCTGGAACCCCCTCCATCCCCCCACTGCCCAGGAGAACCAAGCTCCCCTTCGGGACCGGAGGTAGCCCAGGAGGTGCCGCCCAAGCCAGGCCCCCGGGTAGCCACCGTAACCAGGGTACATGTGTCCCCTGGCCCTCCCCACCTCCGGGTGCCGCCGGTCATCCCGCCGTGGTGGGGCACCACCTACTTTTGGCTTTGCTGAGGTGCAGGGAGTGGTCGCCGACCGAAACCCGGGACACCTCTCCCGGGTACACTTGGCCACCCGCATAGAAGTGGCACTCCTCTTCGCGGGTTCGGGGCCTCTCCTCCGCCTCCAAGTCCCGCACAGCTTCGGCCCGCAGCAAGAACAGCAGCAGAGGCAGCAGCAGGAGCTTTCGGCTCCGGCCAGGGGCCAGAGTCATCGCGGGTAGCGGCGGGGGCGGCGCCTCCATGACCACGCGAGGGTAGTCGCACGTCCCTTGGCTCGAACGCTACTTCTCCCGCCGCCAGGCAGCTCCAACCGCGCGCTCAATGCCCGTTCGAGCCCAAGCGCGGCCTCGCGAGACCAGCCCCTCCTCCTCACTCCCCCGCCCCTCCGCTCCCCCAGTCGCCCGCTTCCCGGGCTCTCCCGGAGCCGGCCCAGCCACGTGGTCGCCAGCCCCGCCCACTCATCCCCCCTGCGGGTGTTTGCGCATGCGCCCTAGGGCGGGCCCAGGCACGGCGCTTTGCCTAACTCTGAGAAGCGACAGCTGCCGTGACTGGTCTCACGCGCTCCCGCCCTCACACGTCTTCAGACATCCTTTTACGCTCGTCTCTTCCACACAGCCTTACCACTGCACACCATTTCCCCCCGCCCCCCCAAAAGTGAAATTAACTTATCTCTGAATGGTTTGCACTTTATACTTCTAACAGGTACTGTTTTTTTCCTTGATCTGCCAACAACGCCACGACTCCCCCCACCTCCGCCCCTAGTTGAAGCCCTTGCAAGTTTGTAAATCCTGGGAAAACTTGAAGAAAGGCCTAACCATTTACTCTTCTCCAGCAGGCAAGGCAAACAGGCAGTTTGGTGACTTAAGCCTGCCTCAAAGGTGTCTTATTTTTTAACTTGAAAAGTTCCCGGAAAACCAGCCTTTCTTCCAGCGCAGTATAGGTCCATCGTCTGACAATTACCCCATCATTTTACAGGAGTCTTCCGCACTCTTTATGCTCCCCCCCGCCCCCCGGGGTCCCTTCTAGCCTCCTGCGAGCTCTTGTCATCTTTCTGAATCCCACAGAAGCCATCCGACAGTTTCTCTTTCCTCTGTTAGACTGTCAGCTCCCTGGGGGTCAAAATCGATGTGGAATTCAGCTTTGTTTCCCAAGGCACCTGGCACAAGGTGAGCATTTGCCATTGTAAGCTTTTGATTTTGCGAATAACACCTAATGTTTCCAACTGCCAGTCAGTTTTAAGTTGCTTTCACATGTTATATCCTTACTCCCTGTGACAACCCTTTCCAAACTAGTTCTGTCCAGAAAGAGGAATGGGCTAGGTGCTGAAGGCCCTTGGCCCCTACAGTCTGTCAGCCCCTCCTCGCGACTCTCCACCCTCACCTGGAGGCATTTGCGCCTGCTCCCTGCGGGCAAGCCCAGTGTACTCCCCGAAGCCGCACCGCGAAGCCCAACTTAGTTTGTGATTTTGTGACGGCCGCGGCGGGTCTCCTGCCCTCCTAGACCACCCTGCCCTCTCCCAGCCATCCCTGTTCGCCGTCAGCAGTGTTTTAGGTGCTCCTCATCTTTCCAGGCCCATCTCTTCCACAAAGCTTTGAGGGAGACTGCGCTCCCGCCATTGCAGGTGACTGATCAGACCCTCTTATTCTTCCGCGCACATCTCTCCTACGGGAGCCTCACTACCATCCGTCACCCGCTCCCCAAAGTAACCTTTCTGCTTCTGAAATTTTATGCCTTTGTGTGTGTGTGTGTGTGTGTGTGTGTGTGTGTGTGTGTGTGTGCGCGCGCATGTGCGCGCGCGGGCGCGATGCGCTCAGTTGCACAGTCCTGTCAGACTCTTTGTGACTCTGTGGACTGTCGCCTGCTAGGCTCCTCTGTCCCTGGACAGAATTCTTGTCCCAGGCAAGAATATTGGAATGGGCTGCCATTTCCTCCTCCAGGGAATATTCCCGATCTAGGGATAGGACCCACGTCTCCTGCATTGGCAGGCGGATTCTTTATCACTGAGCCAACTGGGAAGCTGATTTTATACCTCTAACAGATACTTAGGGCTTCCCTGGTGGCTCAGCTGGTATAGAATCCGCCTGCAATGTGGCGGACCTGAGTTCGATCCCTGGGTTGGGAAGATCCCCTGGGGAAGGGAAAGGCTACCCACTCCAGTATTCTGGCCTGGAGAATTCCATGGACTTTATAGTCCATGGGGTCACAAAGAGTCGGATACTACTGAGCAACTTTCACTTCACAACAGATACTTATTCTCCTTTTCCTGCAGTGAGCTGGGTGAATTGGCACCATGACTCTAGTTGTAAGCCCTTTTAAGTCCTGGGAGAATTTGGATAAGAAAGGTCTAACCTGAAAAGCAGTATCTTGAGGTCAATTATTGTCTTTCAGTGGGAAAGAATCTCAAGCAGAAAAGTCAGTTTGGTGATTTGAGACTGTCTCAAGGTGTGTATTACTCTTTTAAAATCAAGACTTGCTACATTCCCACAAAACCCTTTCTCCCAGGCATGGTATTATTCCATCTTCTGACAAGTAACCCCATCATTCACCTATTAGCTAAGATGGCAGATGAGAACTGAGGGGAGACCCACAATGTGCACACCAGGAAGAGGTAAGCCACCGGTAACTTTTATGTCTCCCTTCTACTTTCCTGTGAATTCTTGTCATTTTTCTGAATCCCACAAAAGCCATCCAGCAGTTTCTGTTTCCTCAGACTGTCAGCTCCCTGGGGGTCAAAATCTACGTGGATTCCCAAGGTGCCTGGTGCAGCTGAGCATTTGCTATTGTATACACTTGATTTTGTAAATAGCTTCTAATGTTCCCGATAGTCTGTCATAGTTTAAGGTTGCTTTCACATATTGTACCCCTCCAGACAACCCTTTGATGCAAATAGGAAACAAACTCATCCCTCTCCCCAGTCCTACCCATTATATGCTCTGCTTTTTGTTTCCTGACCTGTTTCCTGTGGGCAAAGGAGGAAGTCACCTCTCTTTTGCTGAGGGTGGTAGAGGGGGTTAGTGGGGAGCATCTCCTTACCCATAATAACGTTGTCTGTCATTTCTTCACTTTGAGGTGATCTGTAGACAGGGGTAGGTGTTCTCGGACGAGGTAGCTCTCGAACCTCCGATTCATCTTCTCCTCTGGCCTCCTGTTCCACATGGAAGGGGACTGGGGCCCGGGGAATTCGGGACTGAGTTCCAGGGACTCGGCTCAGACCAATGCCCCGAGGTCGGCTTCGGTGTTCCATGCTGACTGTTGGACAAATAGCCACAAAGCCTTAGTGAATTCTAGGCCTTGAGCTGGCTCTCCTAAATTAGAAACTGGGAGAGAAAGCCTGGGGATAGTGTTATTTCCTGACACCTCTGTTATGGCCTGAGCCGAGGCGCCCAAGTTGGCAACAAGGGCTGCCCACCAAAGGGGGCCCCAGTGAACCTCCTGCCCACTGGCGTGAGTGGCCAGGTAGGCCAGCTCCCAGCCACAAACTGTGCTCCCCTCACCAGAACCCCCTGGTAACTGACATTCTGGGTGGCGGTTGCTCTGAATCCTTCTGTCCAATGATGACCTGCCACCTGCGGGTAGGCATTGTACTGTCACAGTGGCAGTCACAGGGAGGCTTGGGGTGGGGCCCTGCCCCATGGCACTCACCATCCAGCTGGCATCAGCTGCCCGTGTTAACAATACAAAACTGTAAGACAGTGAGGTGGTTCTATGTATAGAGAAACACATGGGGAGCTTAAAGACATTTGAGTGTATGGACCAAGCCCCAGAAATGATGATTTAAATGAGGGGTCCCCAACCTTGGGAATCTAATGCCTGATAATCTGAGGTGGAGCTGATGTAATAGTAATAGAAATAAAGTGAACAATAAATGTAATGTGCTTGAATCATTTTGAAACCACCCGCCAACACCTGGTCTATGGAAAAATTATCTTCCACAAAACTGGCCCCTGGTTCCAAAAAGGTTGGGGACTGCTGCTTTAAGTGATGTTGAGGGGGCTGGTTCTGAACTGTGTATGGTTTTACAAATGATGTGTATGGTTAAGAACCACCACAGATGGCAGTTAAGAGGACACGTTGTGGACTTAGCTGTATTTAGGTTCCAATCTGAACTTTGACACCCATTGGCCTTGTGGCCTGGGGAAATGAACTTAACCTTGGGGAGCCTGAGTTTCATCTGTAGATGGGAGTTGTTATTACCTTCCCCATGTTGTGAAACTGAAATGATAGGAGTTTCATGATATAAGTGTAAAACCTGATTTGGAACATCAGTCAGACTTAGGGGCTCATTTCTTTCTTTTTTTTTGTCTCAGAAACATTTATTTATTTTTAATTGGAGGATAATTGCTTTACAATGTTGTGTTGGTTTCTGCTGTACAACAGTGTGAATCAGCTATGAGTATACCTATGTCCCCTCCCTCTTTAGCGTCCCACCCCATCCCCTCATCCCACCCTTCTAGGTCATCACAGAGCACTGAGCTGAGCGCCCCATGTCACACAGCAGCTTCCTGCTATCTAGCTATCTGTTTTATATATGGTAGTGTATATATGTCAATGTTATGCTCTCAATTCATCCCACCCACTCCTTCCCGCCCCCCGCCTATGTCCACAAGTTCATTCTCTCTGTGTCTATTCCTGCACTGCAGATAGGTTCAGATAGATTCATCAATACCATTTTTCTAGATTCCATATATATGCATTACTATATGATATTTGTTTAGTGACTCATTTCTGAGTCAAGGTCATAAAAAGGATAGTTTCTGCCTATGTCTCGGGGACCTCCCCTCTCCCTCTGGGGCACCACCAGATTTGGGGGTTCGCAACCAGTCACCAGTAGCTGTGCCAGTTAGCACTGGCCCATAAGGCCAGAGCCCCGAGGAAGTCAAGGCCTGCAGCTTTCAGAAATGAAATAAACAGGACTCTTTTCTGAAAAAAAAAAAAAAAAAGGATAGTTTCTGTCTTGGATTTACATTCCTCAGTCTGGGGGAAGACTTACTGTCCAAAAATTTTTTTGAGATAAAATTCACTAAACATATAATTTATCCTTTAAAAATGCATAATAAATTCAGTGGTTGTTAGTATTGTCATGGTGTTGTACTTTGTGCTCACTACTGTCTAATTTGAAAACGTTTCCATCACCCTTAAAAAGAAACCTCATTCCTGTTAGTGGTTAATTTCTCACTTCCCCCTAGGTCCTGGCTAATCTATTTTCTCTCTGTATAGGTTTGCCTATTCTGGACATTTTGTATAAGTGGAATCTTGCATGTGTCCTTTTGTGTCTGGCTTCTTTCATTTAAGTATGTTTGTAGGGTTCATCTCTGTTGTAGCATGTATTGGTACGTGATTCCTTTTTTCTTGTGATGAAATATGCATAGCATAATACTTTTTAAACCTTTTTAAGTGTATATGTAGTTCAGTTGTTGTAGCCACGCGTTCCAGGAAACAAACTCACTCAGAAGGACAATGCAGGTGGTGGAGTGCAGTTTATTATTATACCTGTGGATCCAAGGCAGAGTCTCCTCTTAGCCAAGGACCCCGACCAGTTTTTGTGAAAACCTTATATACCTTAAGTGTATAAGCTTCCCTGAAACTAGTCTGAACAAAGGAAAAAGAAGGATATAATCAAAGTTAACCCGTAATTCATATGCCTTAAACCAAGGTAGTTAACAGTAGACAATTATCAATAGGCCTGTGGTCGTACCCTAATAAGCATAATACAATGTGATTCTATCCGGTTACACAGATAGTTAGGATATTCTTTTAGGCTGCAGAGAGTATAGGTGCTAGTCCTGGGGCTCTTCCTTCTGGGGGCCTAGTTTTCCAGTTGATATGTCATTTCCATACATACTGGGCACATAGCTCAAAGTCCAGTCTGGCCCAAGATGGAGTCCTGCTTTCAAGACAGAGCCTGTTCTGTTTCCTCCTTCATAGTGACATTAAGTGCATTTACATTGTTGTGTACTCATTACCACCATCTTCTCCAGGATTTTTCATCTTCCTGAAGTGAAACTGTACCCATTAAGCAGTAACTCCTCATTCTACCCTCCCCTTAGCTGCTGAAAACCACCATTCTCTTTTCTATCTCTGAATGGGACTACTCTGGATACCTCATATAAGTAGAATGATATATTTGTCCTTTTGTATCTGGCTTCTTTCACTTCAGCTTAATAGTTTCAAGGTTCATCTGTGTTTTAACATGTATTATACTCTGTTCCTTTTCATGGCTGAATAATATTACATTGTATGGTTATACCTATTTTGTTTGCCCACTCACAAATTGATATTCAGATTGTTGATACTTTTGGACTAAAATGAATAATGATGCTATGAACATTCATGTACAAGTTTTTATGTGAACTTATGTTTTCAGTTCTCTTGGGTATCTATCTAAGACTGGAGTTGCTGGGCTATATAACTTTATGTTTAACATTTTGAGGACATGCCAAAGTGTTTTCCACAGCAACCATCCTATTTTACATTTACGCCAGCAGTGTATGAGGGGTCCAACTTCCCCACATCTTCTTCAACACTCTGGTTCTTTTTTTGGTCATAGTCATCTTAGTCAACATGAAGTGGTATTGTACCATGGTTTTGATTAATGATGTTGAACATCTTTTCATGTGTATCACCTTTGGAGAAATGTCTATTTAAATCTCTTGTTCATTTTATAATTGGGTTGTATTTTCTTTCTATTGTTGAGTTGTAAGGATTCTTTATATAGCCTGGATACTGAACCCTTATCAGATGTATGATTTACAAATATTTTCTCCCATTCTCTGGATTTTCTTCTCACTTACTTGATAGTGTCTTTTGATGCAAAAGCTTTTAATTTTGATGAAATCTACTTTATATTTTTTCTTGCTTTTGTTTTGGCATCATATTTAATAAGCTGTTGCCTAATTTAAGGTCATAAAGATATAATCCCATGTTTTTTTCCTGTTTTATTATAGTTACAGCTTTTACATTTATGTATTTGATCCTCTTTAAGTTAATTTTTGTATATGGTGTGAAGTAGGGATCAGGAATTCTTTTTGAGCACCCACTTTGTGCCAGACACTGTCGTTAGGAGAAAGCAGTAACAAGGAGACATGTCCTGCTATTCAGTTCAGTTCAGTCGCTCAGTCATGTCTGACTCTTTGCGACCTCATGAACTGCAGCATGCCAGGCTTCCCTGTCCATCACCAACTCCCAGAGCTTGTTCAAATTCACATCCATTGGATTGGTGATGCTCCCAACCATCTCATCCTCTGTTGTCCCCTTCTCCTCCCGCCTTCAGTCTTTCCCATCATCAGGGTCTTTTCAAATGAGTCAGTTCTTTGCATCAGGTGGCCAAAGTATTGAAGTTTCAGTTTCCGCATCAGTCCTTCCAATGAATATTCAGGACTGATTTCCTTTAGGATGGACTGGTTTGATCTCCTTGCTGTCCAAGGGACTCTCAAGAATCTTCTCCAACAGCACAGTTCAAAAGCATCAATTCTTTGGCACTCAGCTTTCTTTATAGTCCAACTCTCACATCCATACATGACTACTGGAAAAACCACAGCTTTGACTAGATGGACCTTTGTTGGCAAAGTAATGTCTCTGCTTTATAAAATGCTGTTTAGGTTTGTCATTGCTTTTCTTCCACAGAGCAAGCGTCTTTTAATTTCATGGCTGCAGTCACCATCTCCAGTGATTTTGGAGTCCAAGAAAATAAAGTCCTGCTATTATCGAGCTGAAATTCCAAGGGCACTCAGATACTAGTCCTTGGTAACATAAATGTCTACATGTAAATTTGACCACACACTGTTTTGGATCTATAATGGGGCTTAGTGTGAGGATTGTGAGGGAAGGGTGGAGCCTCTCATGGTTGACAAATTTGCAGCCTGACCTGGGGCTCTGTGATATGGAGGAAATCCCTGTGTGACTGTCCCAGGGACATTGGCAAGTGTTTCCCTTGCCAAGTGTGTCCCAGTGTTTTCCCTTTGAATAGCCACTTAGACGCTCAGTCAGTCCTTTGGCTTTTGTGACCCACCCCTGTGTTGGGATCCTTCTTTTCCCCTGGGTGCCCCCTCCCCCACTGCTTTTCCTCTTATGATAGTTTTAGGCCACTGTCTTTTCTGGGATCCACGTATGTTCCCTGGAAACACAAATTTCTCTGCATTTGTGGGCAGTATAGTTTCATCTCAGGTTGCCATTTTATTGTTCCTTCTGCCAGGGACAGTTTAGTCCCAGCCTCTAGAATTTACTTGTGTGAGGCAGACACTAGTTCCTGTGATCCTCAGCCTATAGGAGACACAACTTTTCTGCAACTCTTTGTCATTTGCCTGAGGTAGCAACATTGTCCCTCTCTCATTCTAGGAAAGTAATTCACAGTCAGGAGGACATTCCAGTGACCTCTGAAGAGGCTCATGTGGGAAGAAACTGAGGCCTCCCAGGACCTCCCAGCACCACCTTGCCAGCCTGTGACAGCACCAACTTGGAAGCAAATATTCCAGCTCCAGTCACTTCTGATGACTGCTGCTCTGG